TTCCATTAAATAGATCCATTTGCTAGATATGTGTGAGTTCTGGTTGGAATATAAATATACAATCTCAAAACACCTGAACGTTTGTACAGCTCTCAATCAAACGAACCCTCAAGTGTCTAATTTAAACGAATTCGGGAGGCGTCGTGTTGGTACGCGCGACGTTCCGATAATCTGCGACCGAAATCACGCCGGTGTGTCTTGTCGTTCGTGTTCATGGATAAATCTCTGGTTTTTTCTTGATTTTTCAAAGGAGAACAGGTTTTTCCCGATTGAGTTTCTAACGAGATTTCTTAATGTCGACGTTGCTTTTAACGAGGAACAGATTCTTTCATATGTATCTTTTGAAAACGAAGAACAGATTCTTCGATGCCGATGTTCAGCTTATTAATTTCATTTTAGATGAGAATTTAAGGAGATGTTGTACCGTTGATTCAATAAAATTGTCTATTGAAAGAGATTGATTAGGATTGGTTCCGTTCGCTGGCAATTGCAATGTTTTAAAGATGGAGAGAAATGAAATGCATCTCCGATATCTAATGTTTTTCTTTCAGTTTTGAAAGCTTCGAAGAAGCTAGTTTGTAGCACAGAATTCATCGCGAACTGTTTGCAAAATTCAGAGGCGGAGATTACGAGTTTGAAGATCAAGGCCACTCTTTGTCGTTAGCACGATTGAAACGTTAATCGCAAATGTTCCGCGAGATGTTGCAAGGAATTAAAATAAATATAATACACTGAATATTAATGATTCCTATGAAAAGCAATTACAATAAATTATAAGACGTTCCTCGTATAAAAATCGATAGGAACTTCCCAAACATCCCGATAATTGCAATTGGTATTGAAGAATTGAATAACAATTCGGATTGTAGCCTATCAAATAAGCTCCGACGGATAATATCTCAAGTTTTATATAAAAAGAAACCTTCTTATTGCTTCTCAATTAATTCTGCAGAAATATCCTGAAAATATCAACCATTCAAGTTATTGTAACAAAGAAACCCGTTTGATCCACAGACATTATAGTGCAGCCTCGTCGATTTTCTCACGAAACCGATCAACAAAGCATTTCGGCAAATTTCAGGCAACAGATTCGGAAGCATTCCTCAACACGAGCCTAGAATGTTGCACGAGCTAAGAAACCGAATCCGAAAGAAACCAGATAGACGACGCAGAAAGCCATCGAGCGCGATTCGAGACACGCCATTTTGTCGGCTCGGGAAACTACGGCGTCGGGGCGCGAGCTGCAGTTCCACGGTGTTTTCGGTCTACGTTCTAACGAAAAACGGAACGCAACGCGTCCCGTCGGAAGAGAAAGAAAACTGTGAAGCCGCAAAGGAAAATCGAGTGCAATTCAGAACGGCAGGCCGATCTCGAAGGCCTTGATCAAGGCGGAGCCCGAGTCGTAGACCCCGATCACGCCGAAGAGCACGCCGAGGAAGATGACGAAGCAATCGTACGCGACCTCGCTCCATTCCATGGAGTTCCTCTTCAGCTTCAAGTGGAAGTAACACGGCCAGATGAACGAAAGCATGGTGCCGGTGAACGACCCGATGAATCCCATCAGGATGCTGAAGTGTGGTATGAAGATCGCCATCAAGATCGTAAAGACGATCACACCGACCCGCCACGCTAGGCCCCAGACCTTCAGCTCCCTGTCGACGGTCCATATCGTGGGGAATATCGTTTTCGGCCTGCCCCTGAAGAAAGCCCTCTCGAGGAGTTCGCAGGCAGCGTAGTACGGTAGTGGATACGACAGCACAGCCTTCACGACCAGGCAGAAATTCACGAGACCTTTGAAACCGGCTGAGTGCAAGTTGTTGGTGATGACCTGCTGCGTGTCGTTCTGGAACGTCAAGAAACAGATCCACCCGAAGAGGGACTTGAAGGCTGCGGCTGCTATGTGGCTCCAATTGAGCATCCAATCGAACTTGGAGCGGTCGATCAGGTTGCCCTCCAGGGTGGGCAGGAAGATCTGCGAGGTGTAGCTGAATACGATCACTCCGAGCGAGATGGGGAAGTTCTTCAAGTCGATCGTCCACTTTACTTTGGACCAGCCCCAGTCGCCTATCTCGAGGATGCAGTAGCCGACGATGATCGCGTTGATGAACAGATGCGACATCGTGCACCAGAAGCTCAGCACCGAGACGTGCTGCAGGGACTTCAGGAAGCCGAGCGGCAGCAGGAAGATGCCGATCAGCATCATCCAGCTCCTAGTGTCGATCGAGCCCTCCGGGAACGTGCCTATCATCAGATCGCCGCAGACTACCACGTAGAGGATGCAGGTCATCAACAGCTCGATTATCTGGGCGATGTTCACTGCCCTGGCACCCCACGTTGGACCGAAGCACTCCTTCGCGATGGCCACGTACGAGTCACGCACTCGTACCCGTTGACCGGTCACCGTGTCCAGCTCGTACAGGCACTCGACCAGAATCTTGCCGGTGTAGCAGCAAATGTGGGCTATGCCGATCATCGCGGCGATCGCCCAGTAACCGCCACGCAGCACCGCGAACGGTAAGGAGACGATGAACATACCCTGGAAATGGATATGCGTTTTAGAGGAGTTGTCAAGTGGGTTGTTCAAGGGTCTGGTAACGGTTTGAATAGTTTGTTTGCTGGGGAAAAGGTTTTATAGTCGTAGTTTCCAATGTCGATATTTCGGTCAGATGAAATTTTCATATTTGGGATACTAAGCTGCAAACGAATGATTTAATTACTTGAATAGAAGTCGCATTAAGCGGGGAATACCTGTATGGCGTTTGTGACGTTCCACGCAGCCTGCCATTCGTTAATTTTTACACCTGACGCGCCGAATTCACCGCCGCCCTCGTCGTACTCGCTGAACTCGCCGCTACTGACGCTTCCTGTCCTAATTTTGTCCCTGTAAAACGAAATTCCTTTGGTAACTGTCTCATCGCTGAATCGTCTCGCTCGAATTTCTGTTTCTTCTTTGATCAATTTCAATTAGTAACTTCGATCGCATTAAAAACAACGAGCAAAACGATGCAAAGAATATTTGTAAGTAATCAAAAATTGAAACGAGTCACATGATGTTACTAACGCAATAGAATATTAATGAACAGCGATCTTGAAACAAAATACTGGTCACGTGTTTCCTTGTATCTGATTATTATCAACGCATGAAACAATAATAGTGAATTGTACTATACTATGATATATTTCTAATATTCTAATAATAGATAATTAATTAATAATCTATATTTCTGATCTATTTCTTCGCTACTATCGGTGCAACTGCTTTATCGTTAATCATTTATTAGGAAAATGCATGATTTTGTGCTTATTCTACATCTACGTTTACTTCGAAGGGCAATGATTAATAACAGAAAAGTAATATTTCATTTAGATTTACAGAATATTAATAACACTTAGATTTCTCAGATTCAGTTTGAAATTATCCTCGCGAGCCTGACACGATATTATAGGTGAAGGGGTTAATTTACTTATAGATTTGCAAATACTAATTACCCGTTTCGTTGATAGCTGAACGAGTCCTCAGCCATTTGTACATTGTTCTGGTCCCGATAGACTTGATCTCCGTTCATGGTCATCATTTCCGTGTTGTCGTGGCCCTCGTCGAAGGATTTGAATTGTTCTTGCCCGCTTTGTCCTGGGGCCGGCCGTTGGCCAGGACCACGAATCAGTTCCATACAGGGACTGTTCTCAGGCCATTTGGCCTTTAATGTTTCCCAGGCAACGTTGAAGGTCGCTTGGATGGTCGGTATGTAGAATCCACGGAAATAGGCCATTTTCTATTTCGTTGCTCTACAAATGGCAAACAAACGTTTTCCTTCCAGCTTCCAGTAGCTAATTCTAACTTATACTTCAAGCAATACACTTATCGATAAATTATCATAAATTGTAATTTAGACTCCAAGTAATACAATTATCGTTTGAAAAAGGAAGTAAAGGAAATATTCAATTGTTGCGAGAAGAAACTGAAAGAAATAGAAGCACGAGAGATCGAAAATTTCGATGCAATAATGCATTATTATTCGCATCCCTTCGAGAAGTATTCAACGTTGAATATCCCGACGTGAAAGTCGTCGTTATCTTTAATAAACTGGATACCGAAGCGCTTATCGAGTATCAACTGTTGCGGATGAGTAACATTATACTGTGGAATCCGACGATGGCCATTATCGATGCACCTGCACGGTTCTTTTTCGCACGCTACACCCACGAGACATTTAATCGTGGGCCGTTCGTGTCACAGATAAAAATGTGATAAGTAGAGAACAAATTGAACGTAATACAAGACTGACAATAATCCGATTCACTGGGATCTTACCAACTGATACACTCCGACACTAGTTCAAGAACAGCGAAATAGACGATAAAACGAAAACAAATGGAAATAAAGTTGTCCCAATTAATCTCGTCCGACACGCCACGACCAACCCCGAAACACTTCAACTGGTCAAGGCAACGAAATCCAACGAACAGGGTGTAACGGAAAGCTCCGAACGCCCCTGCCCAACAAAAAGAATCTAACACGCAATCTATTCTAATAGAACCGCAAACGAAAATCCACGAAAATTCAAAGAACAACCCACTAAAACCCCGAAAACGTTCGCGATTCTCCTTTGACCTAAAAGATCCACTTATCCGTGATCGGTGTCCAGAATTACGGTCACAGGAATTTCACTCCCGACATTTTTATTTTCGAAACGGTTCCCGGGATCGACCCCGATCGGTTTCACTTACCGAACGACGAACTAGAGAATTCGTCCCCCGATCTCGCGGTAGCAACCGATGCCAGCGGTGAAAAACGTCAGGCAGGAGGCTGTCTCCCAGCTCGAGCTGTCCCGTTTCCTCCTCTCCGTCGGGGCAGGCCTAAACTAAAAGGAAAGGATCCAGCGGCGGGCCCGGCGAACGGAAATACTTGAAAATAAAGGGTGCGAGAGTCGTCTAACTACGTGGACTACGACACCGCATGGCCGTCTAGGGTCTACCGCGATCGTCGAGTCCCTAATCGCGAGCACTTAATCGCGGCATAGACTAAAGGGGGTTGGCGTGTTACAGGGGTTGGCTGATCGGAGGAACATGGCCAGCATCCCTGGAACGCGCAAGCCTCGATCGATGCGGTCCACGAGACATCTCTCCGCACGTCAGTACTGTAGTTAAGGGTTTCGTCCCCCTAGATGAACGCGAATCGGGAGACCACGGTCGCTGAGCACTGAACCCCGTTGATCGGTATTCTTCTATGCTTCGACGTGCAGCCGGTGGGGATGCAACGTGATTGTCAACCCTGGTCACTCGGGCGTATACCGGGAATAGAAGATGTTACGTTTTAACGTTTTAACTTTTTAGCATTTTAACATTGTACTAGTTTTATTGCTGATTCTTACGCTAGGACTACTGGACACTTAGCACTAGGTTTATAGACAATTGTTGTATACGTTATATATTGCTGATTACGCTAGGACTACTGGACACTTAGCACTAGGTTCATAGGCAATTGTTGTATACTTTGTTCTATTGTTCTTGGAGAAATTGGCGTTCGTTCGTTTGAATCTTGGGAATTGGAAATTTAACACTGTTTCTACCGAAGGTGTCAAAGGACACCTTTTGAAGTTTTAACTTATTTTCTCAGTTTAATGATGTGTCCTGAATTACATTTTGGACATTTCCTGTAATTAATTTTATAATCGTTATTGGTAAAGACGAAAAGTCAATTCAGAATATGCGACTAAGCTCGGAAAATAATTTTAAAATAGGTATTCTTGTAATTGCATCGATTAGAATGGATGTAAATGTTTATGTAGACGATTATAAAATTCAATATGCGTGAAATTGAAGTGTTGAACTACTGGCTTTTTAAAATTTCTTTGTGGAAACTATGAGCGTGCGTTTATTGAAACTTCGATTGAATTGTATTTCGGTTTAGGCATTACTGAATCAGCTTCTTTAATAGTTGATGGAAAAAGTATCTATACTCTTTCGGCAATTGTAAAGAAGACATTGGGAATGGGTCATTTTCTAGTGTTGATTGGCATTTATAATGATTAAAACTCTTTATAGGTTTAGATCGATATCAATAGAAAATTTTAAAAAATAATAGTTAATTAAAACATGGTGGAAGCAATTCATAGTTTTGGTGGAATGAATTTAGTATAGTCGTGGAGACAAAAAAGTGCTAACTCGTGTTTCGAATATTGGAATAAACGAATTGAGAAGAATGTCTGATATCGAGGGTTTGGGCTTTTTACAGGGGCGTAGGCACTATCTGAAGTCTAGGTTTATTTTAGGATTACATTGTATTTGTTTTCTGACATTTAAGTTTTTATTGTTTATTTCTAGTTTTGTTAAGGAATTCGATATGTCAAAATTAATTTTTGTCGGAAAATTAAAAAAATATTATAAATTAAGAAATTCTTTTTAATTTGAAAATATGCTTATAAAATGTTATTGTTATATTTTATAGGTCTATGGGTTGTGCAAAATTAGTAAACAGTTGTTGACAATTGCAATAATTTATATAGCTCTTCGTTATATGTACATATCATGAATTTTTTCAAATGACACAGTTTTCAATGTTTTGAACTACAAAAATAGACACTTAATTAAGAACTTATAATTTATCTTTTGATTTATACACTTAATTTAAAAAATGCATAATACGAAAGAATAATATTAAAAAGAAACGTGAGCATCGTCTATATTCTAATTGAACTTATAATACAATACTTTTTTATTGTTTCTTATTATACAATATTTAAAGGTATTAATAAAGACCAGTGTAAATTTTAATAAATAAAGAGACCAAGTTGTTTATTATTTATCTTAGGTATGTTACTTTGCACAGTGATCATTGATAATTGATATTAACTTTACAATCGTTTGTGTCCCTGCTTCTGTAATGGAAATTATAGTGACATCTAAACGAGCATTTCACACATAGAATTACGATTATATTCGTTAGTATACAAAATAAATAGTAACAGTTGGATTTAATATCTCTGTTAACCATACAAGGCCGTGAGATCACAACAAAAAAATGCTTTTTTCTCTTTCTCTCTTTTTGTTTGTCTTTTCTTAACTCCTACCTCGAAGATGTACTTATTAAAGTATTTATAAGTTACAATATTCTGATTACAGTAGAGGTTTTGAATTTTCTATTAAAATTGTCTACATTGCAAAGCTTAACTGTATTACTACCGTTCTATAATGTTTTATTATAGTTTTCATCGTACATAGTACGTTTTACCAGCATCAACTAAAACTTTTTGCTAAATCAAAGTGATTTACTTTTCAGTCTTCCACTTATATATATTATACATACATATATATATATGTAAGAAATGAGGCATATATATATATATGTGTCTCATTTCTCAAATAAACACATGTAAATTAGAAAGTATGTAATTTTTGACAGAGTTTTGCATCTTCTATATGCAGGAATGACACACAAACATTGTAATAAATACAGAAGCCAGAAAAATGTTGAATTTAATAGAAATGTCGGAAAATGAATTATGTAGCCGAGTTCAGACTAAGAATACAATTAAATATTTTATCTTTAAATAATACAGTTGTCGATACCAAATTTTGTACTAACTGATTGCCCACCAAATACACGTAACACCCAGAAATTTACAGTTAAACTGCGGATAGTGATAAACAAAAAACACATCAAGTGAATGTTACAAGATATACAGGAATTATTTAAAACTTTTTGTACAATGCTTTGCAACATTGAATAAATATTTTTACTAATTGTACAATAATAGTACAATGCAAGTGATTTTATCAGAGAAGATATATGTCTTACAAATTTAGTGATAATTTATAACACAGATAGAACTTGACAGTTAAAAATTGATGTTTTTTAAATATAATTGTAACTTTAATGTTCATATAGAAATATTAATTTGTATACACAGCTAGAGCAAATCAAAGCAATTACTTTACTCACTAACATCTCTCTGTGTTTGGTGAGAATCACTATCTGAAGTTAAACTTTCGATAGCACTGTCTTGTTGTGATATCGTTTCAGAACTCCTGGTCATGCACAGTTTGTTGGATTTAATTTCTGTGCGACTGGATTTAAAATTCTGATCTAAATTTGAATTTGAAGTGGAATGTGATGAAACGGTAGATTGAGCAGAAACAGGTCTCTGACATGAATGCAACATTAATTCAGGTCCTCCATCGTATGTTGACAAGAAAAATTGCCAAAGTTCTTCTGGTATTTGTCCATAATCTGAACCTAGAAATATGTTAGATAAAATAGATTTACTCGAACACATAACTGTATTACAAACTTCAATTTACTTCAATAGGAAACTTACCAACTTTAAGGACATTCTGACCATTTTTATTCACTATAATAGAATTATTATCAATAGGTCCAGGCGGCTGTGTTTCTTTACCTCGTACAAAACTCTGCCATTGTCGTAACCATGCCATAGCTAATCCATAAATAGCAGTAGGATTATCGGTATTATGCGTTAATCGTTGAAATACTTCCATTTCATACATTCTCCTTTTTTGTAAAGATTCATATTTTTCTTCGCAGATTGGACATTCGTATAAATGCGTACATGCTGGACCACCTCCAAATCTAAAAAATAACATGTTAGCTATGATTAAACAAAACAAAATGACTATACAGAATCTTATTAATTAGTTACAGTAAATCAAGTGTATCACTTACGTATTATATAAATATTCCCAAACTGCTTGTGGAATGGGCATACTAAGCTTATCTACAAATTGTGCTCTAACAGGATTAACACCGCCATGTGGACAAAGGAAGTCAGAGTTGTCTATGGGTCCTGGTTCCGAAAAAGTGTTAAAACGGTTTATCCATTGTCGCGATACAAAGAAATTTAAATCAGACAATTCTCTAAACGATATTTCCATCAATTCCATAGTTTTATCACGTAACTGCAACATTTCTGGTGACCACTTTTTGTAAAACAATACATAAGCCTCACAATTCTTCACAGTTTCTGGTGAGACTTCTGTAACGCATTGATCATCGAACTCAAACCATTTATTAACAATAGGATTTAACGCATAACAGGTATAATGACCACCACCAGCAGTCCCATGATGACAGATAACTGATATTAAATCATACATAGTTACTTTAGATGCACATTCTTTGTGTAGATACGGTCGCATATCTAATCCTTCTAACGGAAACGAAACGTAATTTGCTATTTTCGAACTAAACATTAATTCATGACGAAATCTTTTCAAATGGACACATAGTATCTCTGGCAACTCCAGAACTTTAGAAAATTTTATTCCATTTCGGAGTTTGTTACATTTTTCACAACTGTACATATTATCTCCCTTAAGTTCATCTGCACTAAAAAATGCAGAAAGGCAGTCATGAAGACTGATAACTGGACCCCAGAACCAAGACCGCATCCATTGCAAGAACCAAGACAACCAACCAGATTGATTGTTTACATATACAACATCTGAACACGGTCCTGCCTTTTGCGGAGTAAGAGACCCTTGATGTAACATATCAATGTGGTCTCGACTTGGAATGGGTAATGATAAATCTTGGAAAGTTTCTACTCTCGTTGAAATTCTATCACAAGTTAAACATTGCACGCTACTTAAAAGTTTACCATCGAATATATCGCTAATGATACTTCGAGTTTTCATTTGTTTCTTCGTTCTATATTTAACAGGTGAGTTTTGGGTTGACCTCTGCGGTTGAGAAAAAGGTTGATCTACAGATGATTTTTTGATACTTCTGTTTGTAAATTTACTTCTTAATTTTTCTGATTGAGACACTCGGGAGTATCTTCTCTTTGTACCACGTTCACCTTCGTCACTAAGGGAACTCTGTTCACTTACTCCAGAATCACATGTTTCATATTCAGCATCAGACTGGCTAGAACCATTTCCATCAATTTCAGTCTCATCTTCATCTGACGACTGTTCTCCAAGTCCTTTTAATCTTAATGCGTTATCACGATCATCTTCTATCTGTTCTTTTAATTCTTCATGCAACTGATCCATAAAACACCTTAAAAATTCTTGAGTGTCATGTTGATGATATCCTCTGAACATTGGATGAACTGTTAGAATACCAGTCAATATTCCATGTGGTACAACATATCCTCTGGTTTTCCTATTCCACATATCTCGTATAAGGTTTAGGTAGCTTAAGCTTAGACCGGGTTTTCTATCTTTGGACATATAGCTAACCATATGACCACAATCCAAAAAGAACTGAGTCAACGGAGGTACATTAGCTAAAGCTTGCAATGCAGCATTCATATAACACGTATTACCAATGTTCTGAAGGCCAACAAGCCCTCTTGGTTTCCCAGAGATGTCTTTACTTTCATCTGAATCAGTACTGTCTGGAGAATCACCAGACTTCTCGTGAAACATACCATCTTTTTCATAATTAACTCTGTTCATGAGTTCGCCATAAAATCTATAATTCATAAAATAAGAAAGGATAATTAACATCTTAAAACTTCATTATACAATGAGGTCAAGGAAAATAATGGTAGAAGTCATACTTACTTATCCAATATGAGTCTGTTGATGTCCTCAGATTTACAGTCAACATTACCAAGACCGTCACCAGAAAATTTATTATTCTGTGTCTTTATATCCATCTGTGTAGGTGTGCATCCACACGGTGTAGTTATAACTTCTCTTTTACAAGCGTAACACCATATACGGTTTGTAGAAAGGTTCATATGAGCACAATGAGTAGGAAATTTTTGGTTGTGTACAGTACTATGGTCTAGGTGCGTTTCAGCACATCCGACCCAACGGCAGTCAGGAAACAAGCATAACCATAAATTAGGCCCGTCTATATTACACTCACTACATTTTTTAAATCCTTCCTTTTGAGACACAATGGTCTCGATAAATGCGAGATCACCACGATTGGCGACGTGAGGACAATTCCTCGATATGAAAGGCATTTGAATTTTGATGTTTTGTCTTATTAATTTTTATTAATAGTGTAACGCGAGAACGCGCATATATTTTAATTTTTTACATCCGTACGAAATTTGACACACACGCAAATTGTCTAAAGTTATAATCATTTTCTAACCTGACTAAGACATGTCGTTCTTGGTAATCGAACATTATCCACGAAAACGATTGTCATTGGAGATAGTTGTATTGAAAGAATTAACTAAACACACATTACAATCAGATAGCCAATGTAAGAAAAGCAACATAGGTTGGTGTACATGTTGCAGTCGATAGTCAATTTGAAATTTAAAACATAGCTAATATTGTTACTGTTTTATAAACGATTAAATTGAACACTTGAATCACATTCTACATTCTTGTTATTAAAATATGTTTACGTTAAAGGTGATATAATTTTTCTTGATATTAATTTCAATATTTATGTAAAGCTGTGTATGATGGTAGATGTCGCGCTTTTAAGTAAAATACACTGTCGATAAAGGGTACAGAAGTTGACCACCGCTGTGTAACCCCTTAATAACCTGACTGAAATATAAGTCAAGATTGCACATGGATTATTGACATATTTTAATAGGTTTTTATTGTTTTAAATATACTTTGATAGTGTCTGTAAAAACTTGATTGTTCCTTGTGAAAATATACTTACGCTGGTAATTATGAAGAGAGTATTGTCATATAATTCAGTGAACTCGTGAAGTTAACCTACACATTAACCTTCTGTTTTCTTATTATGTATTAATGTCATGGATTAGTAAATAAATGTAATAGAAACGTGTATCAGTAACAAAGTTTAACATAAGTGAATTTATGTGTTGAAACGTTTTATGAACATTTCAGTCATTATTGAAAATAATGTTATATTTTTCAGCAATCAAAATGGTGTTATCGTGTCGGTTTTATAAGGAAAAATATCCAGAGGTAGAAGATGTAGTGATGGTAAATGTACGTAGTATAGCTGAAATGGGAGCATATGTACATTTATTGGAATATAATAATATTGAAGGTATGATTCTGTTATCTGAGTTGTCCAGAAGACGTATAAGATCTATTAACAAACTCATTAGGGTAGGAAAAACTGAGCCAGTCGTTGTTATTCGAGTTGACAAAGAAAAAGGTAACAAAAATCAAATATGTGTTATATTTATGGAATACCATTAGAAAGGTATTGGTTTCTTCTATGTTTATTAACAATATATAAAATACAATGTAATACAGGTTATATTGATCTTAGTAAACGTCGTGTATCAGCTGAAGATGTAGAAAAATGTACTGAGAGGTATGCAAAAGCAAAAGCTGTCAATTCAATACTAAGACATGTTGCAGAATTATTGCATTATGACAGTGATGATCAATTGGAAGAATTATATCAAAAAACAGCATGGCATTTTGAAGAAAAGTATAAGAAGCAAAAGGCTTCTGCATATGATTTCTTTAAACAATCAGTTTTGTAAGTACGGGAAATGCAATTTGTTAGAAATATTACATACTTGGTAATGATTAGTAAAACATTGTCACTTTAGGGATCCATCCATTTTAGCAGAATGTGGTCTTGATGAACACACAAAGGAGGTGTTATTAAATAATATTAAAAGAAAATTGACTTCTCAGGCAGTTAAAATTCGAGCAGATGTGGAAGTAGCTTGTTATGGTTATGAAGGAATTGATGCAGTGAAAGCTGCTTTAAAAGCTGGCTTAGCCCTTTCCACAGATGAACTTCCAATTAAAATCAATTTAATTGCACCACCATTATATGGTATGTCTCTTTTTATCTTCTGTAATTTTCACATTAAAATTTATAAACACTAAAATATTAAATTATCACTGTACTTTAGTCATGACAACATCTACACCAGAAAAGCAGGATGGTTTAAAAGCATTGAATGATGCTATTAATGTTATACAGACTAAAATAACATCACTTGGAGGTGTATTTAATGTTCAAATGGCTGTAAGTTACATTGTATAAATTGATCATTAGTAGATAAGTATACTGAAAATGTAGAAATCATTGTTTGTAATAAAAATGTGTTAATTTATAGCCGAAAGTCGTAACTGCAACGGATGAAGCAGAACTAGCAAAACAAATGGAACGAGCTGAACTTGAAAATGCAGAAGTTGCTGGTGATGATGATGAGGAGGAAGTGGAAGGAATGGATGGTTTTAGCGGTGGAGAAGATGCGGAAGATGATAAAAAACCTGGAAACGATTCACAGGAAGAAGAATAGACACTTAGAATAAATTCATATATCCCACTTTTCATTAAGTGACAATTATTTCTAAGTCAGAATCATACTTTTGAAAGTATGTTACTGTCTTACTGGACATTTCACAGAATATTTCAAATAAACATAGAAAACCCAATGTATTATAAGTTATAAATAATTTTCTATCAACTTGATAAAATAAATATGAATAATACTTAAATTATTGTTAAAAAAACAAATTTTTCATATGAGAAATACTCTTAATGTTGTATTTAAGAATCTTCTTTACATTTTATAATTTTGATATTCTGAGCACTTGTAAAGCAAAGTATAAAATATAACATTAATACATAATATACATAAATTTTAAACGAGTTTTAGTATTTTCAAGTTTTTATTAAAACTTTGTACATTTTTTTTTTACTGTCTTATTCATTAGCGATTGTGACTTCCACTTCAACACCAGGTTCAATGGAAATGCTTGTAATTTGTTTTACAATCTCTGATGGTGAGTATAAGTCAATGACTCTTTTATGAATACGCATCTGGAAACGATCCCAAGTTTTTGAACCTTCTCCGCAAGGTGTTTTACGTGTAGTTATCCTAAGAATCTTCGTAGGCATACGAACTGGCCCCTTCACTTTAAGTTTCTGTTTGTTTGCTCCATTGATCAATTCAGAGCAAACTAAAAAATGACATATTGTTATTGTAAGTTACAAAATAGAATTAAATAATATTAGGTTTGTACAAAGCAATTTACCTTTCTCAAGAGAACGAACATTTCGTGAAGTAAGTGTAATTCTAATCCTGTGAATAGGAGGTACCTCCTGTCCTGGTTTCTCAGGGTTGTCGGTTTTTGTACTTGCCTGCAATATTATTGTTTATAGATTATAATAGATATAATCAGAATTATACAAACAATTTATGTTACATTAATTACGTTAAACCAGTAGTTATAGAAAAAATAATACTTTGTTTCATTCTACAAGATGCACTTCGAGGAACGCGTGTTTAAGATTATAACTAACCTAACAAGTTGAGATTTATTTGCAAAGAAATATGTGATTATAGTAAAAATGTGATTAAAAAGTTTTTTAAAAGTACCAATACTTTCAAAATAATTACTTACCATTATTTAAATCTTTTTCTGGTCGAGATGATCAATTTTTTTCACAACAAAACTGATCAGCGCTGAACCAGTAGAAGCACACGTTGCATGTGCTGAGCACAAAAGACAGAGAACGACGCGATTTCCGGTTAGCAGTACTTCAACTAAATTTTAATGAGTTTGATATAAACGAAAAATACATCTAAAATGTTTTGTACATAATTTTTCCTTATATTATACTGTTTATGATATAGTTTCATATATACAAATAAATGTATGTTGTTAAATAATTATTTAATCTATCTTTACAGTAATAAAATTCATGACATAAAATTTATCTACTTTATTAATTCACATGTATTTTATATAAACCACTGTGTTATTATATAGAAAAAATTATATTGTATAACACTTATAAACTTCTATCAATAGTTTAAGTTTTATAATGTA